CTTAGGCTATAAAGTATTAAGGTAGATCAGATCTAGTCAAGTGTCTATCAGTTTTCATGTTTCATGCATAATCCACTTTTTAAATTGTTTGATCTTAACTAATTAGTTTAAGGTTAAACTTAAAACCAAATACTGTCCAATGTAAATCCTAAAAATGAATGAATTTATTTTGAGTTTCAAAAGCTTTAAACAGTTAGATAGCATTTAGAGATTATTGAAATTTTTTTAGTATTAATTAAAACATCACGAGAGGTTTCAGAAGATATATGGTTATCATTTTCGAAAATTTCGTTCCTCACTACTTTCTAAGTCATGGACACTTAATAGTGGATGCTTACTGCTGAAGAGTTTCACTCTAGAATGAAACGGCCATCCAGAGTTTCCAGGTTTTCAATGGTTGTTTAATATTGATCAGTTCATGATTTCAATGAAAATATAAAATTGGCTTTTTAACGGACAAACTAATAAAGTTGGTTTTTTTCATAAGACGATAACTGTATATCTGAATTTATTCATAACTTGAGTTCTATTTCTTTCCTCGCTATTAATTACCATCTATCATATAGCACTTGCCAATTATTTTAATTACGTATGTTGTTACTCAAATTGAAATAAGTAGTAGCTACACGACTCATTCAAAATTTTCATAAAGTTTAGCAAAGAAAATTGACGAATGCAATATAATTTCTTTCTGATGAAGAAGGCGATAATCAAGCCTAGTGATCATACATAATATTCAGTAACAGGTGAATGGTCCGCTAAATCCTCACCTTTTAATACAATGTTTCATATAATATGTGACCATATTTCGTGCCACTATTTCTTCACTGACTGACATCTGGTGTGGAAGACTAGAGATTCGATTTTTCCTCGTTGTTAAATTTATCAAACCGTCTAAATCAAACAGTTGGGATACGCGCAAAATCAAAGTTCACAAAACAACGATTCGTCTAAAAAAGTAGTTCTTCATTGAATAGTATACATAAATTAGTTACGAACCTCAACTTGTGAGGTATCTGTGGCGTTTACCGCGTCCGTAAGTTTGAAATAGAAAGGGCTACCTGAAGTAGTAACATAAAGAATGATTACAACATACGATAGTGCAAATGACAGCTGTGTCTAAACTTGACAACAGTTTATCAATAAGCAAAAGCGGGACCAAGAGCAAACAGTATGAAAACCGTTGGATTTAAAAAGGACTAAACAACGATACAAAAACAGTGAATATCTGCTACAGAGACTGAAAGAAAGTAATTACAATGAGAAATGCAATAAATGTTGTCAGCATGTGTAAATATTTTAGAATATTACACGACAAACTTGCGTTACAACGTACATATAGAAATTGCAAGGGATACAACTATTTACTGAATATAATATATAAGTAGTATAAAACAATACACAAAAGAGTTGAGGGGAAGAGAACAAGGACGGAGAACATGAACAGACTAAAGACTCTTTATAGATTTTTCTTCAACATCACGAACCCACCATGCATCCTGATTTGTAATACTTCCCCAGCCGGTGATTGAAGTAATCTATACACTTAACTTTTATTCATTGTTCACTATACCATATTATTATTTTACTCATAAGTCATTTTTCAAGAAAATGACTGTTACACTTGACAGTTATGATTTATCTTGAAATTAATTCACCAAGGTGCTTGAATCACCGATATAATGTTTTGATCATTTGTCAGCTGACCATGTTGTATCATGGTGTGCTTCCGCTGGTCATCATTCTGCTTATCGTTTGAACAATACTACCAATTATTTGATGATATTTTATAGCGTATAATGATACCATATAACTATTTGTGAAGTATCATCAATAATAGTAGTAGAAGTAATAATAATAACAATAACAATAATGATAGACAATAGACAGAGGTTATGGTTTCAGAAGGAAGAATGAATTCGTACAATAAAAAGTGTGAAATACTTTTGAAACTCAGGATCTAAAGGGTAGGCAAAATGTAAATGTACCTGTGACATTGATATGGTTATTGAACTATTTTACTCAACTACTCCAACAGCTGATCATGACAGTCACAATAATCTTAATCAAGCAATATTCACCTCCTAGTATAGCCGAAACTTAAAAGTCAACAATTTCACAAACCGATGTTAAACTTAGATTCATTTGCTCCTAGTTTTCTTCTAACATACACTATTACTGGCTACCTTTAAGTGTTACGATAATTAATCATCAGGAATAAGTAACGTATTATCTAATTAATGAAAATTTAAACATAGTGAAATTAGAATCATTTAACTCCTTCTTTTTCATCACATTACTTATCATAAAAACGTTATAGTTAATTTTCTTTCCTTTTTTTTCCTTACTTACTTACTTACGCCTGTTACTCCTAATAAAGCGTAGGCCGTAGACCACCATTCTCCAACCCACACTATCCTGGGCCTTCTTTTCTAATTCCATCCAATTCTTGTCCATTCTTCTCATGTCTATCTCCATTTACCAGTGTAATGTGTTCTTTGGTCTTCCTTTCCTCCTTTGGCCTTCAGGATTCCATGTGAGGGCTTGCCCTGTGATGCACTTGTGTGCTTTCCTCAATGTGTGTCCTATCCACTTTCAGTGCTTCTTCCTGATTTCTTCCTCCACTTGGATCTGGTTTGTCCTTTCCCACAGTTGGTTGTTACTGATAGTGTCTTGCCAACGGATCTGAAGTATTTTGCGTAGACAACTGTTAATAAACACCTGTATTTTTTGGATGATGACTTTCGTAGTTCTCCAGGTTTCTGCCCCATATAGTAGAACTGTCTTGACATTTGTATTGAAAATTCTGATTTTGGTGTTGGTTGACTGACAGTTGTTTTGAGTTCCAGATGTTCTTCAGTTGTAAATATGTTGCTCTTGCTTTACCGATCCGCACCTTTACATCTGCATCAGACCCACCATGTTCATCAATGATGCTGCCCAAATATGTAATACTAACTTTAATGATCATAAGCATAGTTGTTAGTTAAATATGATTAGTTGGCTTACAATGAATTCTAATTTAAGTTCACTTTTAAAGTGTAAACAACCATTGTGTTTTAATTTTGATGATAGGCATATTAAGATTTTTAATTTTTGTTGTTGTTGTTGTTGTTGTTGTCATTTTTATTATTTCAACCCATGACTTTAATGCCTTTTTCTTTCCTTTTTTCTTTCTTTCAAAATGAATTCAGTATTTTTTTCGTTTGCTTGACATTGTTGACATATTGCAAAACTAAAAATATGAAATGTTTAAAGCAAAAAAGAAGGAACCTGTATTTACATTGGTAAAATTTCAATGAAATATTACATTTTATATTGAATATTATTTAAGTGTTTCACGGTGTTAACTTGTTCATCAGATCATTAAAAATAAATATGTGGATTAATTGTTTACTGATTGAATGATGTTGCCATTTGGTTCTTGTTATAACACTTGATTGATTGATTTGAACACATAATTATTGGTACAAGGAGTCACCAATTACATATGTGCCATACAAGTCACTTGATTTGTGTGTGGAATGTGATACTTCCCTGGTTCACAGACCGAAGCAGGTGGTTTTCTTAGAGAGTCACAGTCGGAACCTTCGATCTAAAGGTCTGATCCACAAGGCAGTGGAGCAACGTTAGATGATCCAGTCCCATACTAGCCGGTGATGAATAATTGGTTCATAGGCCATTTTTTCCCTTAGGATTGTTCAGCTCATGAGCACCATTGGTTTGGAATCAGGGTTTTCCAACTCCCTTAGGTGGATCCTCCATATCCACCAACCCGGTTGAAGCTCCGGACATTCGCTTTTCGTCCTCTCAATTTCGTAAACAACGGTAATGTTACGAGAAGGCAATAAGTAGAACTTCCCAGGTTGTGGTTGTATACGTGTGGCCATATGAGAGCATTTCGAGAGGTACAGCTAACTCTCCACACCCTCGATTGTACTAGAACATTTAGGGACGGTAAATACCAGTAAATTTCAGCAATTCAAATTAGACTTAATGTATAGTGTTTCGATCTATAATGATAAGAAGTGAGATAAAAATTTGTTTTGATTCATTATAAACACAATATATTTTAATCTGTACTGTGAAATATGTGATATCATCTAGTATAAGTCATAGATTAAACAATCGAAATAAACTAATGCTTGATTCTCATCCTCTATTACATTCCACTTTTATTCAATGATGAATTATTATTATTATGATTACCAAATTTTTTTTAAAAAAAATTCTGAACACACACGAAACATATCAAGGGTACAATACAACTGATGAAGCTTAATAAATACACACATTAAAATTTCTATTATAAATTGATATATCACATCTAGGCTATTCACTTCATATCTATTTTTAAAAACGATCAGCGAGACTATAATTTATGTACGAACTAATCAGATTTACAATAACAAGTCTTGAATTTGGGCGCGAAATTCATTCATTCATTTGGTTAAATAGAGTTTTGGCATTATAACTAATGTTAGTTCGTAATAAAAACTCTATATATATCTGATACCCTAACCCTAATTATCGACTGTAAATATTAATTCTAATTCCTTACACTGGTTTATAACACTTATTTAGCCATAGTATGTAGGTGAACATTCTCAAGATCTTTTAAGCGTCGCTCAAAGGTCATCCATAAATTATAGCTTCACCAAAAAAAAATTTAAGTCACAAACAGCTACGTACTCAAGGACAATTTCCTTTATCTTTTTTCCTCAATTCTATTGTTTTAAACATTGAAATTTAAATTATGCGCATCGTTTAAATTGTAGCATTAAAACAACAATAACATATAAATTAAAATTTTACATAACATGTAATTTTGATGATTGGTGCTTTTATTCTTCAAACTATTAATTATGAAAATGAATTTGTTTTGTTTCAATAAAACATGTTTTTATTATTATTATTATTATTATTATTAGTTGTAGTTACTCTTACTGTTTATATTCTCCACAACAGTCAAAGTGTAATGATTTGCTTATTTTGTATTCTCATGATGATGATGATGATGATGATGATGATGATGATGATGATGATGATGATGATGATGATGATGATGATGATGATGATGATGATGATGATGATGATGATGATGATGATGATGATGATGATGATGATGATGATGATGATGATGATGATGATGATGATGATGATGATGATGATGATGATGATGATGATGATGATGATGATGATGATGATGATGATGATGATGATGATGATGATGATGATGATGATGATGATGATGATGATGATGATGATGATGATGATGATGATGATGATGATGATGATGATGATGATGATGATGATGATGATGATGATGATGATGATGATGATGATGATGATGATGATGATGATGATGATGATGATGATGATGATGATGATGATGATGATGATGATGATGATGATGATGATGATGATGATGATGATGATGATGATGATGATGATGATGATGATGATGATGATGATGATGATGATGATGATGATGATGATGATGATGATGATGATGATGATGATGATGATGATGATGATGATGATGATGATGATGATGATGATGATGATGATGATGATGATGATGATGATGATGATGATGATGATGATGATGATGATGATGATGATGATGATGATGATGATGATGATGATGATGATGATGATGATGATGATGATGATGATGATGATGATGATGATGATGATGATGATGATGATGATGTAAGTTTCACATTTATTGAATGTCTTCAATTAGATTTACAGTTAAACGTGAAAGAACTTATGCTTTCTGTTGAATTCAAACTCGGGTCTCATCAAAATATACGCTTCACAGTGTAGAGTAAATTACAGTAGTAGCCAACACAGTGAGAAGTGATTGACAGAAGTCGATCAGTACTCAATACTTACTTCTTTTTTTACTATGACTTACTATGGTACTTCATACAACACTTACTGAGGTATTTCTACTTGATGCGATCCCTTACAACATCACCTCTTCATTATCTACCTATGCTAATGTTATTATGATCAATAGCTCATTCCTTATTTCAAATAATCATCGTTTTTATCTGAGAGGGTTATATGGAAATTAGTTTAGTTTGTGGGTTATATTCATCTGTTCACTACTGACTTACTTCATTATGAGTTTCTGAAGTCCTACTGAGAAATGACAACCAACGAAATTTAATCATACCAGGAGTGAGAAAATTTTTTTCAGTGGGACTCTAACTAAGACTATAGCATCTACCAAGTTGTTGGAGTTAAAACAATGACTTGTTCCGGTTAAATTAGGTTTATCAAACCAGTCGCTACATTAAATTTCAACTAAATATATATACATAAAGAAAGATGTAGAGGGTGCTAGATAAAGTTAACATGTCGACTGACAAGACTGTGAATCTTTATTGAATGATCATGACGTAATATTACGTATGTCCAATAATTGTCCACCTCAATGTGCAGTGTTGGCTGAACACGAAACAGGTTGGAGAAGATCGAGGGACGATGATATAAAAATGTAAAATTAATTCATGAAGTCACTGAGTGTTGGATTAGGCCATATGGGTAGATGTAAACGATCCAGTTAAAATCCTCTGGACTATCATGATCAATAGTTACAGTTATTGACCAACATGGTTTTGATATAACGGATGGCTTAAACTATTTTTCTTCTCTTTCTCTCAGATATACTACAACATTACGTTAATGCAACAATGAGGCTTGTCACGTCATAACAGATCCAGGATTCACGACCCAGAATAGAGAAGCAGATTATAAATGAGAACAAAACTTTATGCCACATTTTCAAGTAATTAGTCTCAGTGAATCAGGAGAAACCAATGAGAAGAAGGGAAATCACATATTTAAGCCAGTAAGCTAAGTTCCTGTTTGTCCACTCTCAGTGATCAATTATATTTTACTCTCACTACCCCACATCAGGTTCAAGATCGATCTCAGTAGTGCAGAAATAACTATTTTCTATCTTTGAAACGTTGGTTATAGGCTTATTTCATACGTTTACTTAAGCGAATATATTCTCTTTTCTCAAATCATTGGTGAGACTATAATTTATGGACGACCTTTGAGCGACGCTAAAGAGACCTCGAGAATGTTCATATACATACTACGGCTAAATGAGGGTTATAAACCAGCATGGGGAATTAGGATTAATATATACAGTTGTTGGTTAGTATTAGGAATCAGATATAGGGTTTTCATCACGAACTGACATCAGCTACAATGCCAAGACTCCATGGATGAGTGAATTTTGCGCCAAAATCTAAGACCTGTTATCGTAAATCTGATTGGTTCGCCCGTAAATTATAGTCTCGCCACACTACCACTACTATCACTACTGTTGATATGTTTTTCTTCATGATTTCATATTTCCGTGTTGTGCGGCAACTTGATCCGATACATTTACATAGAAGGTTCTACTTATAAATGACCGACTAGTTGAGTGACTTATACAAAATTCCTAATCTTATTTATTCAGATAGCATAAACAAAATAACATAATCATCTACTTATTATCATCTAGTTTCAAGATAAATTTTGTCGAATTCTAACATCAAACTATTTTATAATCAAAATTAGAGTGAATTCACTTGGTATTGTTTGGCTTGTATCTTCCCATTGAGGTTTAAGACTGTAATTGATCAGTCTGTTATTGGCATATGTGCATACTGTGCATATGCCTTGATATTGCCTTAATTCACAAGCTTTTTGTAATCAGTGATGGATAGTGGCTAGCAGTGGAATCCAGGACGCGCGTTTCGTCCTATTCGGGACTCGTCAGCTGAATGTACTTGCATCTCAAAATTGATGTTCACTCTGGGACTCGATAACGCGATGGCGTTTGAAGCGAATGGTACTGGGTTCGAGTCCCAGAGTGAACATCAACTCCGAGATGCAGGTACATACAGCTGACGAGTCCCAAATAGGACGAAACGTGCATCTTGGATTCCACTGCTAGCCACTATCCATCATTGCTTACAAAAATTAGAGTGAATTTATCATTGATGACGTTCCAATTCAACGCCTAAAATAACAAGATGTTGAATGTTAGACCTTAATGTTTAAATGGCTTCATTTCTATATAGAATACTTCAGTGTATACTGTTAACAATTGTTCAGTACTAAAATGAAACAACACTATTTCCTTTTTGTATATTATAGTATTCTTGCTTAATATCACTTTATCATTAGTATTATCTTGAAATTCTCTTTTGTATTTCAACAATTCATATTCATAAGTAAAAAAGCAACCAAAAACATAATCAATAAATAACTGGTAACAATGTTTTTTTCTTCTATACACACAAAGAAAAACGATATATGGAATCACTGTGACACAAACAGATTTTATTCACGTTACTATGGTAACTTTTAGAGGCAAAAAAAGCGTTTTTATTTAAAATTACGGAAAATTTGTCGATCAAATGTTGTTTTATTGCTTGCTTTGTAAATAACAATAAAAACTGTATCAATACAATAGTATATATACAGTGAAATATTAAACATTGAACAAAAAGTTATGATTAAAACAAGATGAAAGAGATGATAGCTACTGTTTATACATTGACCTATCTACCTCACCTTTGGATTAATTTATTCTAATGTTGAATCTTAAATTATTGGTTTACAGTGATTAGATGCATATTATAAATGAACTGCTTATTTGAATATTTTAACATATTCCAGTATTCACATAAAATTAACAAGCCATTAAATAGTTTTGAATAGAAGAAAGGTTGTCTTTTTTTTGTTAATAAGAAGGATTTGGAAGGAAACCTTGGTCGATTTAGGTTTCATATAGGTTGACACACTTTTTACAAGGTGTGATGGCAATCTACCAGGAGCTCATGTTCTATGTGCAAGTAACAATATATATATTTAGGGTAGATTGATTTTGACTAGAGGTGGAATCCAGAATGTATGATTGTTTTATATAAAGCTTGTTAGTTGGATATACCTGCCATATTTATGTTGGTATTCATACTGGAACTCGAACCCAGTATCTTTCACTTCAAAGCCTAATGATGCTTAATCTATTGAGTAATTGAGTTTAGATAGCTGCCAACGTGCTCAACATTTATGAAGTTTACATCATGGTTAGATAAACTTTGAACTGTCTCGTTGTTGATGTGCAGGATAGGATTTTTGATTAGTTTCTGTTGGTGTGGGTGAAAGATAAGAAATGTCACTAAAGTCAAACCACAAATTCTAACTACCGCATTAACTTCAGCTAAATGAAGTCCAAACATCCAGATACTGCACATATTTGTAATCATTTATCCCATGAACTGATTCCATGTCTTGATCAGCTCACTCCAAGTTATCTTTCTAACATAAGTCTATTTAAACCAGTATTACATTTCAAGGTATGGGGTAGTTAGATATGTGCCACAACTATCTTAGTTCATGAATATTTTTAGTTTCATCAATGGACTTATCTTTTCTACCTAGTACTTTGTTCCTAACCTCAACTTTACTCTCTTGATGGTTACTTCATATACTACCAATGATGAAAAGATATTTGTGAATAAACGCTTGTAGTCTACTTATACTTTCCATTTTCATAGGCCATAATAAATCTCCTATATAATGCTGAACTTTAATGGCTCCGAAACTGGTTTTGAGTCATTTGTCGTTTATCAGTCATGGAGTCACTAGTTAAATCTAGGGTCTGTTATTGAGAAACTATTCAAACATGCGTGTGCAGTACTTTCCAGTCATGGTTGATGAACATATCAGGGTTTAAGTTTTGTTTTTAGTATACAAACTCATTTATGTAACCGTAGATCAATTTTCCTCCGATTCCTCTGTAAGGCCATAAATTGTTTTTCATACAACTTGACATAGCTACAACGGTTACATGTACATTTAGACAACTGTTTAGTAACCACAGAGAAATATATGTAGTCCCCTGTGCACTGATGAACTCCCTACTATCTAGTTAACAAGCAAAAACATAATTTCCTAAGATGCCGACTATGAGTAACATTAAGTCAAATAATTTCCATTGGTTTGTACTGAGACAAACATTTACATAGGAAGACTGAACTAAACCATCGAATGACCCCAATATCTTAACTTCGAGAGACATCAAGGATAAATTAACAACTTATTATGTTAGACATTTATATGAAGTTATGGATTTTAGGATACTTACGATATATTCTATGTCATTTGGTAAAGAAAACCTTAACCTGAAATCCTAATCCTAAACTCTGACACTAATTCCTAGCAGCATTCAATAAATACTCCGTAACCTTTAAGCAATATTCACGTTCACCACTGACCTGGCGGCATAGTTCAGCTTTATCTATATTCATTGAATTAATAATTATCTCTTTTCCTTGTACTCGTAACATTCCGCTTATCCTCTATGTACCCCCAAATTCCCTGGTATGGCCGAGAGTGGGGACAGTCCACTCTCCCTCTCGAAATACTCTCACATGGCCACGCGTATATAGCCTCTGCCAAGAAAGTCCTACTCACTGCCTTCTCGCACCACGGGTGTTGTTTACGAAATTAAGAGGACGTAAAGCGAATGTCCGGCTCTTTAACCGGGTTGGTGGACATGGAGAGAAAATTCCGATTTCAAACCAATAGTGCACATGGGCCCCAGTATACTGAAGGAACGAATGGCGTATGAACCAATTGTTGGTCACCGGCTTCCATGGGACTGCATCTCCTTACGTTACTCCACTGCCTTGTGAATCAAACCTTCAGATGGAAGGCTCGGGGTGTGGCCTTCTAAGAAAACCACCTGCTTCGGTCTAGGAACCAGGGAAGTATCACAGCCCTCACACAGATCAAATGAGATCTGTGTGGCGCATATGTATTTGGTGCCTCCTTGTACCAATATCTATGTGTTAAAATAAATAATAAATATCCTCTATGTTGGTGAACTAACCTCATTCTCAGCTAATCGAAACAATGCTAATATTCTGCAAAGATTTCTTCTTAAAAATGATTTATATTATGGTATTTACAGTGAGCATTGTAACGATTTTACTAATAGAACAACAAAGAAGAAATCATGAATTTCTACTAATAAATCTATAGCCCAAAATATTTAAACACCCAGAGATCTGAAAACAAAATCAGTTTTGTGCAATTTAGTCGAGAAAT